TGCGTGCGTGCCCAAGATCCTGAGAGGAGAATGGAGGAGAAGGGATTGCGGCGTGACCATCCCCCCTGGGGGGTGATTTCTCGCTTTCTGTCTCTATGTCTCTCTCTGTCTGTCTGGCGAGCACACGCGCCCTATAGCAAAAATCTCTCCAAAAAAAGAAAAAAAGAAAAAAAGAAAATCACACAAGGCACATGTGCACAGATGCTCAAAATTCAGGAGGAAAATGAGGAGAAGTGATTGCGGCATGGCCATCCCCACTGGGGGTGATTTCTCACTTTCCCTCTCATTATCTCTCTCTGTTTCTCTTCATCGAGCCCACACCCTATTGCAAAAACCTTAAAATAAAATAAAAAAAAAGAATGTAAAGCCCATAAATAGGTCCACATATCTATGGACAACCGATTTCAACAAAGATACAAAGGTAATTCAGTAAAAAAAGAAGTCTTTTCAATGAGTGGTGTTGAACAATTGGATATCCATATGTAAAATATAAATTTCAATTGGAACATCATACTATATTCTAAAGTTAACTCAAAACGGATCATAGGCCTAAATGTGAGAACTAAAATTCTAAGATTTTGTAGAAGTAAATGCAGGAGAAAAACTTTTGGAGACTTAAGGAAGGCAAAAATTCTTATATATGATACTAAAACATGATTTGTAAGAGAATGAATTAGTAAACTGGGCTTCATCACAATTAGAAGTGTCTTTTCTTAGAAAGACACTCTTAAGCAGATGAAAGAAAGGCACAAACAGGAAGAAAATTCTTGCAAATCCTATCTGTTAAAGGACCTGTGTCCAGATTATAAGCACTCTCAAAACTTGATAATAAAACAAAAAGTCCAATTTGAAAAATAGATAAAAGATTTGAATAAACACTTTGCCAAGGAAGACATATGGATAGAAAACAAGCATGTACAAAGATATTCAATATTACATGAAGAAAATGCAATTTACAACCACACACACACCTATTAGAATGGCTCAAGTGAAAGGACTGTCTATGTCAAATATTGGCAGAAAGATGGGGAGGAAACAGACTTGAGAAACATGCCAGGTGCATGTATGTGCATAGTTGACTTGAGAAACATGCCAGGTGCATGTATGTACTTAGCTAAAATTCTCAGAAGAGAACAGAGGAGAAGTGATTGCAGTACTCATGTAGTACTGATGGGAAGACAGAATGGCAGAACCCTTCGGAAAACAACCTGGCAGTATCTTAAGAAGTTAAATATGAGCCAGCAGGTGTCATGGAGGTTAAGGTAGCCAGATCCCCCATGGCTGACTGAGTATTTTAAGTTCTGGACCTGACAACTTGAAAAATCACACTGCGCATGTATGCATCATACCCCAAACCCGGAGAGGACAATGGAGGAGCGGGGATTGCGGCATGGCCATTCCCCCTTGAGGGGTGGTTTCTCCCTTCCCCTCTCTCTGTCTCTTTCCAGTGAATGCACATGCTCTATAGCATATTTTTTAAAAAAGTTAAAAATATACTTACTGTATGATCCAACCACCATACTTCTAGGTTTTTATTTAAGAGAAATAAACATATATATCTACACAAAGACTTGTACATGAACGTTCACGGTAGCCTTCTGTTTAAAAGCTCCAAAGTGGAAATGACAGAAACATCCACCCACAGGTGAGTGGCTAAGCTAATGCCCGTCTGTATGCTGGCATGCTGCCCAGCAGTAGCAAGGGAAGAGCTCGTGATGCACACAGCATGGTAAATCATTATAATATTTGTCCAAGTAACTTTGTGAGTGAAATAAGCCAAGCAAGAAAAGAGTAAGTGCTACATGATTTCATCTATATGAAACTCTGGAAAATGCAAACTAATTAAAAGTGACAGAGAATGCATTGGAGCTTTCCCAAGGAGAGGGACAAGGGATCTAAGGATGGCATAGGAGAGGAGATAAGAAAGGGCCATGAGGAAACTCTTGGGGGATGGTACGCATGTTCATTATATACCATGTTTCGTGGGTACATACGTATGTCAAAATGATCAAATCATACAAGTCACATAGTTTAAATATGTGCAGTTTATTGCATGTCAATTATACCTCAATTAACCTCTTTTTTAACTTGAAAAAAATTAATAAAAAAGAGGAATCAGTGTTCTACAGGGATAGAGGAATTTTAGTCCTTTTGGGTAATCTTCATATGTGAGGTTACTCACAACTGAGCTTTAGATAAATATTCACCAGACGCGATGCTTGCTACCAAAAAAAAAAAAAAAAAAATTCCATCATTCCAGAGAAGTAAACCTCAACTGAATGATACATTGGGTCTGGTCAGGGCCTACAGAGTCAGGTGCCGATGGTTAATTTGGACAGTTCTATCAAGGAACTTGATAAAATGGGGGAATGTAGTTAAGTTGGTGCCTGATATCGGACATGTAGGTGATCTGGCTGCCATACAACTCTTAGCATTGATTCTGTCTTTTGAATGGGTGTCCCCTTCTTTGCTCACTGTTCTAGAAACATCTTTCTTAGTACAGAGAACTGCCTTCTGCATGGAAAAGGAGCAGGATCCTTGGAGGGAAGTAACTCCACTTACTTGCTATGGCTTCTCTATAATCACGCCTCCTCCCTTCCAGCTCACACCTGTGTCCTGTCTCTGGGCGTCTGGCTCTCTCTTATACCAGTGCCGAGTATTGGCCAGTTCATGTGTCCCTACAGGGCCTGGAGTCCATATGAAGCAGAGCCCATGTTCAAAGACCTGTCTCCCCATTGCATCAACACACAGCCTTCTAGCCCTGGGCTTTATGAGGCTGCGTGACCCCAGGGTTTAAAGTGAACAAATCTGCAATCAAGCTTGGTGGATTTGCTGCCTACTCACCACTCTCTTGTCTGGGACCCTCTGGGTAAACACCTTGTAGAGTCGCCAGCTCTTGCCCAGAATGGGGCCAAACACAAGCGAAGTCCCAATGCACAACATGGATAGTCTTGTCTACAGGTGAAAGGGAACAGAAGCAAGAATCATCAGAGAAATCTTTGTTGGTTCTCCACCCACCCTGGTCTGTTCAGCTTCAGTTTCACAGAAGGCATGGGGTAGAAAGTGGACCTTACCGACATGGTATTCCAGGGATCACCTCTGAGAGTGCCCACACCAAGGATCAAGGCAACGACCACTCACAGGAGCAACTGGTTTTACAAATGACCAAAACTTCAACCTTAGATTCAAAATGACATTTTAAGATTTCACCTACCTGAATGACAGTTTCCATTGAACTCCCCACTAAAACGTCTTGAATCCCAAAGAGGTATGCACTGCTGTAGGTCAGACAACTGCCCAGTAAGGTCACAATGTTCAGATTGGGACTGGACATCTTCACAATCCTGGAGGGGATCAGGAAGAAAGATGGCGATGACTGCAACCCTTTGCTCTGGGGTCAGAGCTCTGCAAGATTCACGCCCCCCCACCCCTCAGGATCATTCTCAACGCAGCCTCCGATGAGAGGCCCTTGGGAACAAACCACTTTATAACTTTGTAAAAACTTATCATATACTTAAATTAATTTAAAAAATCATTAAATTCGGGCACTTTGTTCTTGTGCAACTCCAAGTCTTTTAAAAGAAGGCTGACTACCTACGGACAGGTGGTATCAGGGAAGAGTTAGGATTTGTCCATGGAGTTTATGGTTGCTAAGGGACTGCTATATGCAGCTTAGTGAATAAATAACTAGTAGGTAGATACCCAGAAAAATAGTTTGGTGCCTTTAGAAATAAACGATAGGAAATCTACTATTTGGAAAGAAATTTATGATTTCTTTTTTTTTTTTTTGGAGGAGTTTTCACTATTGGGCGCGTGCGCTTGCCTCACAGATAGAGAGAGACATAGAGACAGGAAGTAAGAAATCACCCCCCAGGGGGGATGGCCACGTCGCAATCCCTTCTCCTCCTTTCTCCTCTAGGGATCTTGGGCATGCATGCACATGCACCCGGTGTGAGTTTAAGTCACCGGGTCTGGGACTTGAACCGCGGTCGACTATGTGGGAGTCCAGCGACATAGCCATTACGCTAACTGCTGGCCCCAGAAATTTAGAATTTTTTCATGCACCATTTACTGTATTTGATATGCAAATTATTTTCCTCTTTCTGTTTGACCAAGAAAGTGGAAACAGAGATCAAATAGGAAATTGGTAAAATGTTTTTTATCAGGTAGCTTTTTTTTTGTTTTGATTTTATAACTCTCTATAGGGTATGTGTGCTCACCAGAGAGAGACAGAAAGAGAAAGAGAGAGTGAGAAAGCACCCCCCTGGGGGATGGCCATTCTGCACTCTCTTCTTCATTCTCCTCTCAGGATTTTGGGCATGCATGCACATTCTCTCAGTATATATATATATAGTAGTGAATTTCGTTTTTTTAAATTTTTTACTTTTTATTATCATCATAATCTTCTTTATATTACATTGGATTACATATAAATTTACAGTGTATTACATTGCTTTTTCAAAAGGGATGCCATGCATGTCAGTCAATACAGAGACATTAATCTCCTCGCTTCAACATTCAGTATCTTTTCTATGTTTTCCCCAATCATTATTATTATTATTCTAATTATTTTTTAAAACAGTCAATCGCTATTTCTCATTTTGCTTGTAAAA